TTCACCCTGTGTTACAAACTCAGGCTACATATGTATACCATGTTTTAAACATTCATATCCTATATATACTATTACAAAATACAAAATGAGTGGTTAAATTTATATGACGTAGACTACATTTCAGACTTTTGAGTTAGCCAACAACTTCGGAACAAGTCCTCAACAATGTGCCCAGTTTTATGATACTCCAGAAGAAGCAATAAAAGATATTCCGGATGATTCAACTCTTTTGATTGGAGGTAAGAACAATGTTTTATGTACCATTACAGCTAGAATATTTTGAAAAATTCTTACAAAGACATAGTATAAAATATTTCCAGCATTCAACAGAGTTATACACAAGTGACTGTACCTTTATGATGCTTCAAGGGATATATATGACATCATTCAGTTAAAAGAAAAAAATGATGCTAGTAAAGAAATTTTATGATGAAAAAAATTAAAGAATTTAGATTGTCACACTTATTATGTATCTATGTTTTGCCAATGTGGAAAGTTACACAGTCAGTCTACTAAGAGAGAAAGAGGGCAATGAATTCTGTAAATTTTTATCAATTTTGTTTCTTTTTTTATGGCATCAGGATTTGGTCTGTGTGGTATCCCAGAAAATTTGATTGGTGCTCTTCTGAAACAAGGTGTGAAAGGAATAACTGCTGTCAGCAACAATGCAGGGGTTGATGACTTTGGGTTGGGAATGCTCCTAAAAACACAGCAGGTATCCTTTAGACATACAGACAGTACTAGGACATGTTTTCTCTGTTCACATCTCTGGAGGATGTTTTTTCATTACAGATGTATGACATTGTTTGTAGATACTAAGAATTTGTAGAAATCTTCAACTTTACCAGGTTGTAACTTGAAATGTGTTAGATTTTAACTTTGAATATTTCCTTTTCTCAAACTTGATCTTGTTGGATATTATCAAAATCTTTTTAAAACATTCTGATTTATTTTATCTGTTTTCAGATAAAACGCATGGTGTCTTCCTATGTTGGTGAAAATGCAGAATTTGAAAGGCAGTACCTGGAAGGGGAATTGGAAGTAGAATTGACACCACAGGTTTGTTGGTGAAAGGTTTTAGTCTTCTGGGTGCTGGATGTTTCTACCATTTTCATGTACCCAACCAAGCATGTCATTATAAGAATCGCTGCTACTTACTCATGTAACTCTATTGTCTAAATCATCATCTGAAACTCTGGTTCACAGGTGAGAAATCAGTGCTATGGTTTGTAGCAATCCATGCAACATGATGCATCACTAGAAAGTAGTCAATCGGTACCGTGGTGAAACAACTCCAGGAAGGACTTGACTACAACAACTAACTTTATTTCTAAGTGTGCAGATATAAATACATTGTGTGTCTACTGATCAGAGGGATCACTGTCAAGTGTGTTTATACTACGTACATTAGTGAGAGTGCTATTTAATGATAATTGATGACAGAGGGTTGGGGTTACTATAAGCTTGACCGATAGTGTTAAGAACCATAACACGTGGGATGGTGCACAATTTGAACAGCTGGCACATTTGACTAACACTTGGGATATCCAGTTATTGTCATAATTCCTGGTTGCCTTATGATGCCAGTGGCTCCCAATGGGTTAGAAATAATAATATTTATAATAATAATACTAATAATAATTGAATACCATATTACTTCTTTTGGTAAGGTAACGGATGCTTTGAGTAACTCTTTTTATATTGGGAACTTGTGGGTTTAGATACTTCTGGTTTTTCCTTCTGCCATTTGCTTCAACCTCAAAATCATCACCTATAATTGATATAATTGATAAACGATTATCTAGGACCCAAACTCCTCCCAATGTAGTAATTATACTGGTTTGATTTTTTTGTCAAACATGCTAATATTATAAAGTGGGTGTCACTGGGTGATTATATTCCTTGTGATACTAAAACACTTTTAACAGAGAACATTGCTTTCGGTTTCCTAGTCTTTTGCCTGAGGTTTTCTACAGCTATTTATATTGACCCAGTATTTGTCATGATAACGTCTAGTTAAGAATATTTTTATAATTATTTGACATTTGAGATTTTTTTCTTGTTTGTGGTAAATTTTATAGGTGTGGGATTAATCTTTCAGATTTATTGAAAATCATTACTTTTGATTTTTTTAGTTCACATAAAGTTTTTCGTTTTTGCAGTAAGTTTAAACTTTTTCTAACAAAGATTGGAGACCATTTTGAAGAAGGAAAACAAAACTTAATCATCAACATATAATAAAATTGTGATTTAAATAATCTGTCTTGTGCTACTGTGAAAGTTAAATGTGTCTTTTAGATCATCGATAAAAATGTTGAAGAGCATCGGACTTATGTTGTCTTCTTGCTTTTACCAGTTTTGGGTAGAAATGGCTGTGTGTAAGTGTTTTTAGTGCATATACATTGCTTTCAAAAGTTGGTGACCCCCCCTTCCCAATTTTAAGTTTTAGAAAAAGGCATTTGTGCTACACTGTATAAAAGACCTTTCATTAGGTCAATAACACAAGCATGGAGCCACTTGTTCTTGGTGGTGTGACTGACTTTTAATACTTTAAATGATTCCAAGGTGGTCAGTGTTTTGATTCCCAGGCCCTAAGTTACATCAAATTTAAGTTTCAAACAATTAGATGAATGGAGAAGCTGATTATTTATTTGAATTAATTTAATTCAATGTTCAATTTAAGCCTGGTATAATGTGATGCACTCGTCTGTTTCCAGTCATTGTTTTCAATCTTTAATAATTCAAAATTGAGAGGATGGAATTGTGTATGCTTATTGCAGATTAATGTTGCATGATAGTTAACATGTGTAATGGTAGTTAAATATTTAAGGCAAACAGTGAGCATTTAATTTTTTTATTGCAAAATATTTTAATATTTAAATGTTACAGTTAAAATGTTACAGCAAAATATTTTAATATTTAAGTGTTACAGTTAAATGTTACAATTAAAATGTTACAGTTACTGGACATTTCAACACTTCTCCTTTTATCACCTAAGTGCACCATATCCAGAGCTGTAGACAAAATTTCTATCTATAAAGCCATCTTTGAATTCTAAGGCACTATTCCCATTGACACCATTGGTCTACATGGATCAACCACACTCTGTGTGGACTCTTGCTGATTGCAATCAGCTTAACTGACACTAAAGCACATCTTCCTCGCATTAAGTAGCATGCAGAAAGACTGGCGATTATATGAGTACTTTGGAAACAAAAAGAGGCATGTCATTGAGATTAGCTGATTGCACTTAAAAAGAGTCTCCACAGAGATGGAATGATCAACTTAGAATGAAGGTGTCTATGGAAATGGGGTTTAAGTTTTTTTTAAACGTTTGTATAATAGAGATAGAAGCTGGTGACATTAAAAAAAAGAACTCAAAACCAGGTTTGTAGATTATAATTTTCTGAACAGATTTGGATAGAGTATACTTTCCTGATAAAGAGAAAATTCTTAAAGTTCTTAAGAGATATTCAGGAAAATAAGATTTTGCTTCCTCAAGGTCTAACTCTCACTGTTTGCCTAAATTGTACTTTTCATTTTGCTTATGACAGAGATGGATGTAAAATATTCAGATAGGAGTGGCTGTTAAGATGTAACTCACAAAATTAAGTCTGACATGTACATGTATTTTGCTTTCAAAAGTTGCATTTAAATATGCCCAAGTGACAATTTCAGCACATTGTAATATGTTTACATCAATTATGAATAGTATTATAACATTCTTTCTAGGGAACACTGGCAGAAAGGATACGGGCTGGAGGTGCAGGCATCCCAGCATTCTTTACCCCCACGGCATATGGCACCCTGATTCATGAAGGAGGAGCTCCCATCAAATATGGTCCTGATGGTTCAGTGGTCATTACAAGTGCTCCCAGAGAGGTAACATGATTGGCTTGTTGTTTGCTGTTTGATTAATTAATTGACAGTTTGCAGTAAGTGGAGTAAAATTGTTGATGATGATGCAAATATGGTGTCAAATTTGAATAACTGGCATGATTCATTGAAATATTGTCTTTTTCTGAAAAAGTGGAGATTTTTACCACCTTTACTGAGAAATAGTCTACATTAGATTTAGAGTCAGAGTGGACTTTTTCTGCTCCTCCTCACCCCCCCTACCCACAGGTGTGAGTGTGTGTGTGTGTGTGTGTGTGTGTGTGTGTGTGTGTGTGTGTGTGTGTGTGTGTGTGTTGGGAGAGTAGCAGTAGAGTGAGAACAGGCTTACAGCATGGCTGAGTGTTCTTACATTTGTAGCATACTGAGCACATATATATGCATATTGGTATGTTAATTCAGTGTATAAGAATGTTATATTATTAAATTTTATATAGCAATGTATATCTTCATGATAGGGCTTTGGCTGAAGAAATGGCAAGTTTGTAGCGTGTGATTGTGATTATTTAGGAAAAGAGGGTTGTCTGTCATTGTGCTGGTTGAGGTGATGATGTGGTCGGCTGATAGAATGGATGTGCTGTTTCCAGTGAGTAGAGCCAGTGGCATGGCACTATTTTCAAGACTGTGATTCTGCACTGTGGACATGTGAATCATTTGTTACACTAAAACTGCTTTTATACAAACATCAGGAAAAAGACAACATGATTGCACCCACCTGCTTAATGTCTGGTTTCAATTTCAATGAAACATGACAAAAAGAAGGACAGGTTTATTACCGATACCAATGGTTCCCTAACATGATCCATGTATCAGAAATATGTATGAATCAGATTATGAAACTTCCATTTAGCAACTAACCGACGTTGAGGTCTCACCTTAAGACCTTTCACTTGCCGTATGTCAATAACATTGAATTGCGTTTCAGTAAGATCTGGTTTTTATTCTTGTGTTTCAGAGAACAGAGCCTTTCTAACCATTAGTGTGATTAAGTCAGTTTTATGTAACAGGTTACAAAACTTAATTTGATTTTTCTCTATCAGTGAAATGTACGACGAACATGGCTTCTGGAAAAAAGGTCTTCATTATCTGCTATGTAGCTAAGTGATAAATATGAAGCCAGAGAATGCAAACATACAGTGTGTATGACGGGTTCATTGCCAAATTGCATGGGATGCAATTAGTGGAATTACAGCCTCACAATACTTTTTCCTTGAAAAGAGGTGTTTATTCGCAGACTTAAAAAATCTGGATATCATAGCAACTCTTAGGCAGAAAAACACATACACACACACACACAAATATCGTTTTAACAATGCAAAGACCCAATTGGGATCTAGCCTTGTCCAGTTACTATATATATATATAGACCTCATCAGGAGCACAAACAGATCAAAATACAAAAGAAGACTCTGACTACAAAAGGTAAATGCGAAACATCGCACAAAAAATACACGTGTGACGTTTTGCATCGCGCGTACAGGTAACAAATTTGCAATGTTTTCGAGTTACGGGGCCCAGTTTGTTTGTATGTCATGTGTAATTAATTTGTGGATGTTATAGATCAAGGTATATCATATTATTATGGTAAATGAAATTGATTTGTATTCACAAATGTGGTTTGTAAAAAAATATCTGATGATGATACTTTTTTAAAATTATTGCATAAACATTTAAAGAAAAAGCATTTGGATCGATTAAAACATTTAATGAAGAAACATTAATTTTATTGAAGGTGTGCGAAGGAAAGCTATCAATATTCCATTCATATAAATTTTAGAAAAACATGTCCATTTTCCCAAAAGTATACTGGTCATTTTATTTCAGAAAAGTGGATTTTATTCAAGTGAAAAAATATTGAACTCAGTAAATTTGTTGTCTTAGTGTACATGTTAACCTAGGGCAGTGTGGAACATTGATAAAATGGCTTTTGTTCATATAATATCCAAAACAATAGTTCACACCTACACAACTGATTTTGGTCATTTCATAGTAGTTTTTATTGGGTTCAATAACTTTTTTTAGCTGATCTATAGAACTTCCCTACAAGGTGCCTAATTACTAAATAGATGTGCCTGCAAATATTACAAACTTTAGCTATTGGGTGGCAGACAATTCACACTTTTCTTTGTACATTTCATATATTCTTCAGAAAATGTAGAGATTTTCTAAAAAGCTGTACAAAATATAAATGGGCATGCTTTTTCTTAAAATCTGTAGCTTTAATAAAACATTCCTTTAGTATTACTATGTGTTTTAATCAATATACTGTAAATGCTTTTTATTTAAATATTAATGCAAAAGTCTTTAAAAAGCATCATCATAAGATGTTTTTTTAAACTAAATTTCATTTGCCAGACCTGTAAGTTTAATATGATCTACAATATAATCACACATGTCATGCAAACAATCTGGCAGCTCACCTGCTAAACCAGATCCCAGTATGGATCTGGCCTATTCCAGTTTGAAATATATATTAAAAATTAATTAGTTAGTAATAAGATATAGAATTACAACCTCATATTATTTTTTCTCAGAATTTTTTTTTTTTTAATTAATTGGAAAAGATAAGTTTTCTCTGAGAATCTATTTTATAATAACCCCTTTCGCAGAATATGACTGTTATGTCTACCCACTGGGACATATACTGTTTAATGCAATAGGAGTTATATGTAGACATGATCTCATCTTTACTAAGACGAAAGTCTAACCACAGGATTTAGCAGGATGTGTTGTAGACTAACTTGGGTTATTCCTTTTTGTATTATTTTTTCCTTGTGCAGCAAAGCTTTAGGCTTGTTCTCAGTATAGATGGGACAAACTTACTTAGAGCCACACACACAGATATGCTATCTCATAAGCTTATAAAGCTAAACTTACCACCTCCATACTTATATGCCTTCTTCTCCTCTTAAAAAGAAAAGATTATAGATAAAACAGTTGAATATTAAATTAGGTAATCATTGTTTCTCTAGTTCCAGCTATAACTCGAATGAGGATTGACACCATGATTTTTAGATGAGTGTACGAGGTGGAAATGTTTGTCAAATACTGAAGCTCTCTCATTGACCTTTTGGTTACTATTATACATGGTTTCTATGAATCCATACATATATTTCAATGTTCATTAGTTGATATGATATGTATTTTGAATCACACGTGATTATGACTACATTTTTGTCATTCAGAACAAACATTTGAATGACTCAATTTCCGGTCAAATAGCATTGGCCTAATATTCATGTTTCTAATTACTCATGCTGTCTTGGACAGAGATTTTCACATAAATACTAGTAAATAAAAAAAAAAACAGTCAAATTTTAGTGAAAAAAATGTATTTAACTCGTATTATAGGTTGACCCTTGAGCATCCTTTCTGAAGGGTCCTTCTCTGTGAGCCTTTTGATTTAACTTAACTGCCCATGGGCCACAAATGCTGTCCCTCTGTTTTAAAACCCACTACCAACCCATGGCTACAGCATGCAGCTTATTATTTATTTATTTATTTATTTATTTATTTATATTTCATATTATTATTTTTTTTTTTTTGGGGGGGGGGGTAAAAATGCTCATGTTGCCTGTGTAGCCTATGTTAAGTTTGTCCTCAGTAAACACACACACGTGTGTCATAAACAAGTCGAAACATTACCTTGGGTGCTTAAGGATCTTTGTCCACCCACACCTATACTTGGAAATACAATAACTGTTTTGCAAATCAGCATATTTCCATTTTCTAAAAATAAATTGATATAAACATGTGTAGCATAAAAGGAACAAGAGTGAGAAAATAATATCATCTTTGGTTGTCAGGTACGATTGTATTTTTTTGTATTCATCACAGTATTATATGACTTGAAAGTGGTGTCAACAATTGTAAGTTAAGCAAGCCATTTATAAAATGTGAAGCAGATCTTAAAACAAAGTTTTTTTTAGTTTCTAGATTGACGTCTCTGATATAGAGGCCTATATGTTTCTCTTATCATAGATAATGCACACATACACAGGGTTTAAAGAAAGTTTAATAAGTTGCGTGAGCTATGGAAAAATTTTAAGTAATCCAAAGATATCTTATTAAAGATAATATCAGTAAGGAAAATATCAAGGGCCATCATAGTCATGGTTCTAACTACATCTCCTTTTGAATATGTTTTTCATGGTTTGATCAATATTGTCTGCAAATTTCACACTCTTGACCAGAGATTGTCCCTTGTTGCTGATTTGACCAAGATTCTCTAGGAGAGCATTCACATCGAGAAGAGTAGAGGTCTAGCAAGGCCGAGACCTAAATATGGCAGACCTACATGAATGGAAGACTGCATAATCCTTTAATGACATTCATTGAGAGACTATTAAAGGATTACATGGTTTTCCTTTAATGTAGGTCTGCCATATTTAGGTCTTGGCCTTGCTAGACCTCAGCTGTTCTCGATGTAATGCTCTCTAGGACATACAATTACATTATTATGTATAGACACATGGTGCCTGTACATAAAGCAATCACCTGTGTCTGTTATCACTGTTGCGGTACATTTTCTCAGAAAACATGATAAGTGGAAAACTTTTTTACCTGTTGTCCTCAAACTTACTGAACTGATAAATAGTCATAAAATACAGGTTTAGTTTGAAAATCAGCTTGATTGGACCATTTTACCAAAAGTTATACTGTTTTTTTTTCCTTTTTTTTTTCAGCATATTTTAAAAATCAAAAGCTAAATATCCCCCCAAACCAAAGGATTTACGGGAAAAATTACTGTGGAAGAATGACCTATTTTGTGCATCAATATTTGCCTTTGTCTGTACATTTATCAGCTTTGCTGCTTGTTTATGTGTTCTACTAGATTCTTCAATGTTCCAAGATTTTGTGTTTAGTAACTTTTAAGTGGTGATAATCTTTTACTTTGTAACATGAAATATCTAAGAAACAACCACTTTTTACTCTTTTCACAAGAGCCTCATCATGCTAACTGTCCATAGGTCCCAATGACCTTGATAAAGTAAACTATAACAAGATCTTGCAATAAGGTCTAGTTATAGTTTACTTTTATTAACCAGCAGTGCAATCAAGTGGGTTAGTCCTCGAGTGACATAATCATAGTTGAAATACTCAAGGGTGGAAAAGATAATATTATTGTCCTCATTTGATTGCACAGATGTTGACAATAATAGTGCATTTAAGATGGTTTTAGCAAAAATAGATATGATTGTTGTGATCTATACTTGTTTTCAGAATCTCAGTATCAGATTTACATAACACAATACATGTTCAGCTCTCCATATATGCTTCTGTTACAATGAATAAGACAAACATGGTGTCAGTTTACAAAGAGTTTGGTCTTCTTCCACCAAACTCCTGGTGAAGTGAAATGATTTTCTGGTTGAATTTAGCTCTTAATTTTTATTATTCTGATTGGAAATTTATGTTACAAACTCTCCCTCCCCAAAAAAGTGTGTGTGTGTGTGTGTGTGTGTGTGTGTGTATGTGCGTGTGAATGTGTGTGTGTGTGTGTAACTGTTAGGCTCTATTCCCATAGATTTTAGATCGATCTATCCCCGCGGGGAGTCTCACTAGATAACTTTCAGATAATCCGACTTAAATGTCCGTCCCGCCTACTACAAGCTGTAAGGGGGTAATTAATTTTCTTGTCCGCCAAGCTGACAGCTATTTAGCGTGAACCCCCAGGGAGTTAGGTCGATCCAAAGTAGGTCGATCTTATCTATGGAAATGGGGTGTTAGAGTGCAAGGGCATCTTCTTCACAATTCAAAGAGGCCTCAAACCAGTGCTTATGGGAGGAGTGGGAGGATATACTAACACCCCATTTCCATAGATTTTTAGATAGATCTATCCCTGTGGGAGTCTCACTAGATTACTGTCAGCTTGGCCGGCTTAAGCGTCTGTCCCGCCTACTAAAAGCTGTAAGGGGGTAATTAACTATGGTGTCTGCTCAGCTGACTGCAATTTAGCGTGAACCCCAGGGAGTTAGGTCAATCTAAAACTTAATCTTTAGATCGATCTAAATCTCTGGGAAAGCACCCTAAGAGGAACACATGTGGATGTTACCAATGGTTTGATGGATGTTTTTATTTTCTTACTCAAAAACACCAATCTTCAGACATCTACAAGTGTAGGAGGTGCAGATACTTATGGATTAATATGACTAAAAATAATATGAAATTAAAATAAAGTGAATCGGTGCTCACAATTCAAGAGTGCATTAATCATAAATGTGTGTGTGTGTGTGTGTGTGTGTGTGTGTGTGTGTGTGTGCTGGGAGAGTAGCATAGAGTGAGAACAGGCTTACAGCATGGCTGAGTGTTCTTACATTTGTAGCATACTGAGTGTGTGTGTGTGTGTGTGTGTGTGTGTGTGTGTGTGTGTATGTGTGTGTACACACATGTCAAAGGTATATGGTATATCACTATTACAAATAGAAAAAGATACTTAATGTGCTGTTACAAGTTTCTTTTTGGACCTTATGAAAAATATTTTTTGCTTTCTGCTGATGTTTTGATAGAAAGTAGGAAGTCACAATTTTATTTTTATGAAGAGTGTTTTGATTGAATTACTCATGTTATGATTTCTGTTCGTAGAATTAATTTACATATATTGGGAAAAATGACAACGAGCAAATCAGGCCTAATAAATAATAATTGATCATGACTTGAAGCTGCCACATAGTGACTTTGATTGCCAAAGTAAAGATTTGAAAAATACTTCAGGCAGGTGAAATTTGTGATGCTTGGAGTCAGTATTAATACAAGCAAAATATTAAATTTCAGTGTCAATTCATTAAATTAAATTTGGTTACTTATTTTTTATCCAAGTCACATATGGCAATTTTATTTTTAAGGGCAGTAAATGAAGGGAAATATATTCACTTGAATGATATTCTACATACATCTTTACAAAATGTTTAATCTAACACAGTAGTAATAACATTTTCACTAACTGAACAAGCCCCAACATAGTAAAGGTGGCCAGATGTTGGAATTGATTTGCTTGAATAAAGGAAATTTGAATTTTCATGGGGGAAATTTAACATTCAATATTTCCCTTTTTCATGTCATACATGAAAGTTATCATGCCTTTTTTTAATCTGATCATGTTGTATTATGACTAGTTTTGCACGAAAATTATCTGGAGTAAGCCCAATAACGATGATGTCACTCTTTTGTATAGTTCTTTAGACAAATATTTTTTGTAATTTATATATTAAATAGCTTGTTCAAATTGACTACAAGGTCCCAGGCCAGCAAAGATGATATCAGATAAGAGACAAGAAGAAGAGAAACAAAATAGAATTAAATATGAGTGAGTCGGAGTCTTTGGAAGTTGTACTTCCCAGAAATTAATATGAAATAACAAATTTCCTGTTTGCTCATCCAGTTGTCTTTGCATTGCTCTTATGTTCTTATTTGGTTGATTATTTGTCTTCAAAACAGCAAATTAAGATCTTCCCTTAGATAAGCATTTATCTGACCCGTATGGAATTTGCAAGAAATCAAACTCTAGCATCTAGTGGACATTGTCATTGGATTGATTATATGCAACCTGTCAGTTAATAGAACCACTTGGTGGTTTTGAGAGAGAGTGATTGTTCTGATTCATTCAGTAGTATGAAATTACATAAGGGAAAGAAATGAATTATACTGGACTTAAGAAATAGTAAGGCACTAATCCAGTGTTGCAATATTTGTACCACCGATCTTCATCAGGGAAATGAGTGTCATTGACACAATGGGCTGGTCACATGACCAGCGCAGTGGTTTGGTTTGTTTGTTTTGTTGATAATTTGTGTTGCTGATCCTCTGTGATCATATATGGCTGCATGCTTACTAAATTACTACAATAACAATGGTGCAAACAATTGGAATAGGTAATTTAAAAAAACCCACTAAATTAATATATTCCTGTTTTGACACAAAGTTGTAAGTATTCATGACACAAATTGAACTCTTTTTGTACTTCTGTACCTCACTGACCACAACAGCATATCTTTTTTACTTTACATGTGATAAGATTTTTGATATTAACTATAAATGTATGTTTTGTTGTTTCATTATGTTTTTTTTTTCAATGTTTTTTGAAGAACACTTTTTAATCAAATGTAGAAATGTTTTTGCGCTGATTACTCTATTAAAGATATGTGATTAGCTTGTGTAATGTGTGCTTCAAAAAAGTGTCACTCACATTTACCTGCTTTTTTGAAGGAAACAATTATGATAAAAATTGATTGATATTTTATGAAGGCACATGTCATTAATTTTTTTACTCTTTATGCTTTAAAAGATAGGAGGTGTCACTACAAAGGCCATGGAAACACCACCTGAAAACAATTTTTTTCAAAATTTAGGTCAATTTTATGGTTGAAGGCATTTCAAGGGCTGTATGTGTTTTGGTTAAGATTAAACTGAATCTTAGTTATCATATATCATTTTCAGGCTTCAAAGGCACAAGGCCTTTTATTGAAAAGAAAACCACAATTCATGGTCATGTTGAAAAAACAATGATAACCCATTTAAAAATGGGATTGTTTAATATGTTGTTTTGAATGGAATTCATGGAATATACAATGCATTTTGAAATATTTTGGATGAAATTTTGATAAATATTGGGACATTTTGATGAGACTCTCGGTCTTACAAGATGGTTGAAAGTATGATAAGGTTTTACATCTAAGATTGGGTTCCCATACTTATATCGATCTTACAGGATCGGTCCTTCTCAGAGGGGGTTTCTTTCTAAATTGCTTTCAGCTTAAGCGGCTTAGAAGTCTGGCACACCTACTAAAGCTGCTAAATGATAATTATCTCCTAGCAGCTTTAGTAGGTGTGACACACATCTAAGCCATTTAAGTTGATTGCAATTTAGCTAGAATCTACTCAGAGATAGATGGATCCACTGTCAATACCATGGGTCTGGGAATGGTCCCTAAGTTCACTGTATCAACAGATTTGGTGATATTTTGTATAAATGAAACATCTTTGCAAAATCCTCTTGTTCTGTACATCCTTATGGTATATTGTCATATTTTCATAATCAAAATAACTTGATAGAAGTGATATGCAGTATAGCATTAAAGTTGATGTAGCTGTTTGAAGTAAAGATACATTACCTTTCTTTTTTAATATCAGTTTCTACTTTTTAAGGTTCTCGAATAAAATGGCTTGACAAACAATGTCACATATTGTAAATAATTGGCATTTATTTGCTTGAAATTGTATATCACTTATTTTTCAGATTACTTGAATTATACCACAAATAGGTAATAGATGCAAGAAGTTATTTTAGTTATTTAAGTGCAAATGAATATTCCATAAGCTTATATAGCTATCAAGAAAACCAGACATGATTAAGTAGACAAAAATAAATAAACTTTCTTTAAAATTTTCAATAGAGTAAAATATTATCACAGATTTTTAGTTCCACATTTAAGGCACATACATATTATTCAGGAATTCATTATATCACACTGGTATTTTTTTAAAACTATGATTCAGGTACAGCAGAATACTTTTACTAAGAAAACAGGGTAAGAAGTGCAGGTAAATTTAAATTGTCACTATATGTAGTACATATTTCTGTTAAAAGCTTGAAGTTTCCCTCTGTCTGCTTAAATCTTATTTGGAAAGCTTAAAGTGCCAAAATTTAAATAGTGACAGAGGAAATAGTATGTATTTTCTGACACCATATTTCTTCTTATATGGAGTTGCTTTCTTCAGGTCTTGAGATCTGGGCACTGCCAAATCAAGGGATGTAGAAGCTGATTCAACATAGTCTTGTGTCTGTGACACATTATATTCAATAGTGTCTACTAGTTCACTTTGATCCATGAGCAAGTTGTGCATGTCCAAAAAGAGATTGTGAACCTCCAAAACCCCCTGTTCCAAAGTTTTGATTTGGTCATGTCGTTCACAAATGGCTGTGTACTTTTGCTCCTTTTCCTGCAGTTGTGCATACATTTCCTTCTGAACGTCACCTTGCATCAAAGCTTCTAGTCTTTCGTCTGACACATTATGTTCCCCAAGAATACTTAGATGACGCTGCAAACGGCTTTTAATATGCTTTGAATGCTGTTCTTGGCTGTTGTGGAAGTCTGCCATGATTTTAAGATAATCTTTGGATAAAGCTTTATGGTGTGAGATTCTTACTCTATACTTGACACTCAGCGGGTCATCATGGAATGGAAAAAGCTGGTTCAACTGTCCCTGGATGTTTAAAGCCATGGCAGTAATGTCATCTTCTGCCTTTTTAAGCTGACTTTTCTGGAGACATACACCAAACAGCGATTTTTCTATTTGGTCTTGAAGTTTTTTAGCACAGTTAACTTGTTCTCTCAAATTTGACACATTCTCCTGCAGTAGGCCTATGGATTGGAGCAATAAACCAAGTTCAACACATTTTTTGTCCAGTGGACAAAAATACATTTCATCAGTTTCTGTTAGACCTGGGTTTCTTCCTTCCTCAGTGTCATGCATGTCTTTCTGTATTTTTTGCAGTTCTGGTAACCGGTCTTTTGCCATTTTTCATGAATTGATGCCGATGGCATTAAGTCCCAGCAAGCTGTATTGCCCTTTTGTCTATAACACTCTTTCTACCTTCTTTCTTTAAACTTCTGGTTAAACTGAGCATGTGTATTTTATGAAGAATGATAAGCCGACAGAGATTTTTATAGAGCTATGTGATAAGCCTTGTGAGGTCACAGCTCTGTGGACCTATCAGCATCAAGGGTGCTGGTCCCATTCACTGCAGGAACTTTTTGATTGACAGCTACTGTAATTACGCCTTGGTACGTCATATTCTATTTTATGTTCATGTGAAAGTTGGTTTCTGAGTCTTGCGGTATCAAATGTAGGATGACAGATATATACATTAAAGTTATGCTAGTATCTGTCTGTTGCCAGTTTTATGACATCCTGATAGTAAATAAGAATGATAAAAAACTTGCTTGTTGTTGTTGTAGTTGGTATACAGTATGTAAGCAATTTTATGTAAGTGATTCTAAATAGGAACAATTCAAACTTTTTTATCTTGTGATTGATGGAGAGAGTTCTTATAATGAATGATGCATAAATACTTACCAACACATACATATTTTGTGATTAATCTTTTCAAGTTTTGGATGATGCTAGTGAAATATCTCAACAAACGTTCATTTAAAGTTGGGAGATCTTGAGAATTGACACTTTGTCTGTCTGTGTACTTGATGTCAGGAGTGGGGTTTGCTCTTCCGTGCTCTCCTGTGCTAACCTTCAGAATAAAAGGATGGAGATAAGATCATGCATGTGGTGATCTTAAAGGTTATTCCTTCCTTTCCATTTAATACTCTTTCTGGTGGTGCTTCTTGTGTAGGCAGTTATGAAAGGTATCTATTTTTTTTTTTTTTNTTTTTTTTTTGTTTTAAGAGTGATGATTTATTTCTGAAATAATACCACAGTTTATAGAATCAGTTTTATAATTGTGGAACTTCTTCATTGCAAAGTGGAAGGCGTTTTATTTTGCTAATGTTATCGTACTAAATTTATGAAACATTAATAAATAGAAATCAAACATATATTAAAAAATATTGTTATAATATGATAGCTATACTGATGAATTTGATAATGCTAATGTTAAGACCATTGGTGGCAATAATGATAAGAATGGTGATGATGATGAAAAATATGCAAATGGTTTTTATTGGGCTGGTGTTTGTATCACAACTATATTATTGTGAAAATTAACAGGGTCAGATGCACCATTAATTTAATGGTGTTACTGATCCTGTTAATTTTTTCATAATAAGGCAGATGTGAAACTAGTGGAATACTTGCAACATGCTACTTAAAAAATTTCACACTTCACATCCACTTCTGAATGATGTACTTCTAAATATGGTGTCAACCTTTGAATCATTTTTACAATGATATAGAACATATTCAGAAATAAATCTCCATAACGGTTCATAAACAAAACATGCTTTGTGGAATTAAAGTTTTTTTCTCCTACAAAACCATCACATAGGTATTGTTATGCTTACTTAAAAGTACTGTTATCAGCCATACATATATTTTAAAGTAGTTCACACTATCATGATAACATGGCAAAGGAAGGAAAAAAATAAGTTTGCCTCATCAGCCCAGTCTCGTTGGGGCCTCACAGGCATTTGTCACTTAATCTATATCCTGTGCAGGTGCGTGGAAAAAAACTGTGTGTTTTAACCAATGAGTGAGGTGGGGGTTGAATTTTTTTACAATTTTTGAAATGGTAAATGGATATTAAAATGGTTTGTTTACAGGTTAAATAGTGCAAGAAACAAGAAACAATTTCCGGGGAAAAAGCTGCTTAGCCATAGGGGATTTTTTTCAGTGTTTTCTTTCTCTTAATGTGGGGGGTGAAATATACCTTAGAATAACAAAATTAGGGAGCGTTGGAATGCACTTCAACTGCTCTGAACTTGCCTGTGATAAGATTTTTTAAAAATGAAACATTATCATTATAGCAGAAATGTTGTTTGCCAAACTGTTTACAAGTAACAGTGGAATGTGAGATGTATTTTCTTCCTTTGGAGTACCATTATTTTAACATTTTCTGTTAATTACTGCTGTTCACTGCATGGGTATATTGGCTAAATTATTGACATTTATGGGAACGTTTTGTAGGAAAAAGCATCTTTCAGAATTGTGGAAAAAAAGTGATGGTTTGCAGGATTCATGACCAAAAAAAGTGGAATTATGGCAGATAAAAGTGGAAAAAGTGGGATTATGGAATATTAAGAAAAGAAGTCAAAATTAAAGAAAAAGACATGCTAGATAAGGTGCAATTGTGTTGGTATGAAATTCATTTATGGGATTTTAAACTAAAATCTGAGGTTGATTGTCAGTTGTACCAAACATATCACTCCAAAAAGGGACACATCATCATGTAAAATTTTACTTTCTTTTCCAAACCTCACTGACCTATAGCCTGTAACTATTGGTTACACTGTGCTTTGAAGGAAAAATCAGGTTACTTAACTTTGGCCTGCTATAAATTTTGCCAGATATATTATTATTAGCGTATTACACTGCAAGTTTGACTGTTGCCCCAGGCACTTACACAAATAAGCCCACTTGTCAGTTATATTTAAGGTATTACTAGAGGGCGGTTTTGGTTGCAAACGATTAAGATTTAAAGGCACAATTACACACCCTTTGGAAATACATGTACAGTATAGTGAAGAAAACATTTAATAAGAATAGGAATGATGCCATTGATAAATTGAGTAGTCACTCTTTGTTTGTAATATATTTTAGGGCAAGTTGGACATTTTTAGCAATTTCAAAAATATTTTCATTGTAATCCCTATTTTCTGTATTGGCTGTATTCCCCAGGTATCTGCAACTGAGCAAAACACCAGCAGCATGTCAATTATCTCAAGGAAGGATCTTGCCAAAAGTGACGTTATACATGCATACGCAAATGTAAATGATTTTCTTTCCAGATTTTCCCAGAATAAATGTAATGTAATATCATTGTCATCATTTGCAATATCATTTTCATCATTTGCAAAATATCATATAGCTATTTATGGAAAAGAAGGTTGGTAATTTCTCTGCTATGATGCAATAGGCTAGACGCTACAACCCTGAAAATTTTTTCTTATTTCCCGGGCAATCTGTACTCAGTTTGACACTGTGCTTTGATAGACAACCGTCACAGTTTATTTCATGGCGGTTGTCCTATTAAACCAATGGGCAGTGACATAAATAGAGGGTGCTTAAGTCGGCGAAAGGTGAAAAAAAAAGGCACTTTAGCCTTGCTGTCAATATTTAATTGGTAATTTTCACAGGTGACTTAAATCTTGAAAATCTATGAATAAAGCAACAATATTACTAGCAAATAAGCAATAAGTTAATCGATTTTCAAGGCCAATCATTTGATAATTTGATAATCATTTGATAATCATAAGTAAAACATATTCTACTTTTAGTAACTATCACGTCAAATTTGCTATATTTCTTTTTATATTGTTCTGAAAAATAAAATTTGCCTTATCTATTAAAACGTATATTTTTATTTGTCTATCATTACATGGTGTGAAACTGAGTATAGATTGCGAGGAAATAAAAGTCAATTTATAAGCCTCTTTTCTGGATCAGCGTCTAGTCTAGAATATGTACAATATGGTGTCTTCAAAACTATATAGAAATGATCATTTGATGTAAGATTTAAAGATTAATTAAAAATTTTAATTAATTAAGGATCCAAGTGGCCTTCCTAATAAAAGTGCAACTACAGGGTGTCTCAAAATAGATGCAACCCATTACTGTGATAATGATTTATTACTGATTAAAGCTGATATAAGAACAATAAAAAACATTCAATTCATGTCTCTAGCTTAAAGGATGCATTTTTACAGCACTCTTTCAAATGACCGCCATTGCACTATTGATACACTTGAATTCAACGCGTAAAGTTGTCAATCACCCTGATACACTTTTTACATTACTGCATGTCCACAGTAGCAGTATTACATAGTAAAAATTATTATGATTATGATCAAGAACGTATTATCAAGAATATTCAACCAAAATGGCCAAAATTGACCTGGAAAAATGCGGCATTAAGTGGATTTATTCACAGATCAAGGCTTAGTTTTTTGTACCTGTGAACTCCTAAAGGTTAACTATAGAAGTGTGATTAACATCTTTGAATTATAAATGATAAAAAAATTTTGTAATTACATTTGAAAACAGATCTAAAATGCAAAATTCTAGCTTCAGAATCTACTATACATGATCGAATGTGCAAAGACCACTGAACCCAATTATAGTTATTATAAAAAAAAATAATGGCCACTGTGGATTTGCCCCTAGCTGGCCACGTATGAGTTCATAGGTTTATGGAGTGAGTGACATACGTCATGACACATCCTCTGATTGGATCATATTTACATCTTTAAAAAATTCAGGGTCATCATATAAATTTTTTAAAGAACCATTAATATGGTGGCCCAAAATGAGAACTGAATTTGGTGTTTTGTATTGTTGATAACATGCTGTGTACAATAACACACTTTTGATTATGTATATGTTATCATTTATGTAATACATGAGTTGAATTCCTGCTATCTGTGGTTGTCTTAAAGTACCTACAGCATAATCAGCTTAAATTGATGTTACGCACCAAGTCACTCATTTTAACTGGAACAGTGTTTCATACAACGTAAAATTCATCAATGAGATTTTATTCCTGTATGTCAATTTTGTTCAAGCCAAGTTAAGTGCTATTGCAAATGGAGAGTATCTGACACTTGACATCTAGTCTATTTTGATTCAAAGAAATCCAGCCTATCTGAACTTCCCCTCAGAAAGCAGATATAATAAATGGATATGGAGAATTTATTGACCACACAGGTAACCTTGTACACAGCATACCGAAATCTGTTGTCACACGTACCATATATGCACAAATGTGTTATTGCAAAGTCACGTTGGAAGTTGTCAAGCTGCATTTTTTTTATTCTGACTATTGAAATGAATAAACAGGTAAAAAAATATGCACATAGTATGAAAATACAAATAACACAGAAACACACTAGTAAAGAACTCCTCTCATACACACACCTAGTCACATGCATGCACTCATACTTTATTGTTAGCTCCCTTATAAGTCTACCATAACCTTATTTAACTAGTTGCCTGAATA